AATTAAATTTTTTCTAAAAAAAAAAAAAAAAAAACAGTTGCTAGTGTAAAATAACTATTTCTTAATTTTAAAATAACAGTAATACTTAAATAAAGACCTCAAATTAAAAATTTTTAGGAAGTAGAACCGAATCCTATGAAATCTCCTTACTCAAACTCTCAGTTTAATGTCCGTTTTACTTAAAAAACCAAATAGTCATTTAAATTTAATTAAAAATTAAAATTTATTTCTTAAAATTTTAAATTTTAATAAAAATGAAAATGTATTAAGTTTTAAGTATATTCTAATAAAATTTTGAAATAATCATTATGGTTTCAAAGAAATCAAATTTAGTTCAGGCGATCCCAAGTATCTACCGAAATTCAGTTTCATACAGCCAATATTTTTATGCTGTGGATTGTAGTTCAGCCCTGTTTCCCTTTTTATGAAATTACATATAAACAATTATTTTAATTAAATATCATCTAATAATGATGCTGCCGAAAGTTAGAAAGACTCTTCTAATTTGAATAGACCAGAAAAGCGGATAAAAATAATTTTTTTTTCAATATCGGCAGGCACTGAATTTTTCTTTTCGGTCTTCGCCATAGAAGATGCCAGAATTGTTACTTATTTAGCGTTACCCAGTGGGCACCTGTGAACCAAAGTCACGGAGGCGAGCAACGTTACCCACGCCATACTGCCACAAACCCGTTCATAGGGTGGGCCACATTCACACAACAGAAGACAACACAGAGAGAGAAACATCCATGCCCAGAGCGGGATTCGAACCCGCTGCCATTGGCTCCGCAGTCAGACACGCTAACCACTCGGCCGGCAAAAATAATTTTTTAATTTCTGTTACCGATGCTTCCGCACTCAATCACGGCATGTAGGCGGATTTTATGAACGTCCGATTTGAATACTAAGAATTATAGTTAAACGGAAACATTTTTAGTGCAAAAAATGCTTTAAAATTGCTATAATATTTGGCACCAGTTACGATTCTTGAAAAAAAGTTTTAATTCATAACTAGTTCAAAAAAAATATTACATGAGGAAATTGGCATGTTTGAGGTTTTTATTGAAACTAATTCACGTGTATGCTATAGTATAGTAGGCACAGTTAATGTTACTTTTTTAAAATTAAGGTAAGAGTTAAGATTTTAAAATGCAAGACATTTTGCTTTTTGAATTAAAATCATAAATAGTTAAATGCTTAAACACCTTTTGACTAGAAAATATTCGCTCTAGAGATTCCTATCTTATTTCTCTCCTTTTAGATAATAGCTTGAATGGGTGAGTCAAATTTCTGAAACTACTCTACGACTCTTAATTTTTCCACTCTGTAATCTTATAGATTTTTAATAACTCGTAGAAGAAATTTAGTTTGTGTTTAGACAGTACTTTAAAAAGACACTAAGTAAATTTTATTTCATGAAAGCAGATTTAATGCAATGNTTCTGAATAAGATGTCTTGTATTAAAGCGATGAAACAACACTTCACATGAAAGCAGATTTAATGCAATGTCCACTAATGGGTTCATCTAATGGCCTTATAAATAGCAATGTTTAATTTTCTCTGAAAAGTAGATTTCTTTGCATGATAAACGATGGAAAATTTGTCGTTGATATTGAAATTTATTTGATATCAGATATTCATATGAAACTTTCGACGCAATATGAGGACATCATTCTGTAAACATTTCTTATAACAAAGAACTATAACTTAAAGAAATCACAGGTAGACTTATAGGATTATGTGAAACGCAAAAAATTCCATGACTGTCGAACAAATGTGACGTCCGAATGTGTAGCGGTAGACGGCCGTTCCGCTTCCTCTTCGTGCTCCACATTCGTCCAGCCGTTTCGGAATTTTTCCATTTTAGCGTACGCAGCAGTACGCGTCAAGTTTTCCTAAAACCTGGGTGGTCCGGAATTGTGATGCTAGATCGCATGTTCGGGATCTTAAGTAAACTGAAAACCCTTGCGTTTACAATTAGTGATAAGTTTTGGAGTTTGGATTACTAAATTAACTTCTGAAATTTCTCAAAATAATTATAATAATTAAGTATCGCAAAGGGGTGGAGTCTACAAGAGTAAAGTCCTGGACCCTGAAAAATCCCCAGTTCCTTATGATATCAGGACTACAATATTTAAGACGTTGAAATACACGATGAATCTCTGCGTCTGTGACAATTTTTTATTTACTGTTCGCTAACGAAAACAAAAATTGACGCTCCGCCACTATTCTTCATCGAAAAAGAATGCACTTTCTCAAGTTCTAATAACGTTGAACTTTTGTTTCATTAATTTTTTTGGCACTAACTATTCATTTTAGAATATCGTTTCGATTTATTTTGAATACAAACATGTGTAATTTCCATCTTCTCCTGAAAGTGCAATAGTTTATTAAAAAATAACGCTAGGATCAACCCCGAAAAAAAGTAAACATCCTGTTATTTTTCTGGTCTTACCCATGTTTTGATAAACTCGAAGTGATAACAAATACGTGAAATGAATATGAAAATTCACAGTAACTGAAATTAGGGAATGGGGTTGAAACTTATCGATATGTGGGCATTATATCAATCTATTTTATGACAGCTGGATAATTAGTATTGATCAATATATATTTGGCTAAAAAAGTTTTCTTACTGAAAATATGATGATAATATTCAAAATTTAATTTTTTACGATATTAAGATTTGAGAAATGTTGAAAAGTTTGAAGCATTATCATTACGAATAAGTTTAATCTAAGATTTCCATATGCCGAAAGTTCATAACAGGAAAAATCTCACTTGCTAAATAATATTAAAATGTAAAAATGGCAGCCATAAAATGGCAAGCATAAATTTTTTGTAAACTTAACAAAAGGTTGAAGGTAAAAGAAATTTATTTGACTCATACTTTTATTAAAATAGATATGAAAACACAACTCACTGGCTTAAATGAGAAATATTAAATAGACTGGAATTGGTGTAAACTGTATCTAACAGTTGACAATTTTTAATTGAAATTTCTCTAAACGAATAGAACCATAAAGTAATTTATACTAGGAATGAATGATATTTTAGGACTAAAACATGATTTCTGTTTTACAGAAAAATAGGTAATGCAGTGTAATAACGAACATTTACTTCAGTAGAATTTTAAATATAAGAAGTTTCCTCCGTATTGAGTACTCTGTGTTGAGGTTTGAGTTCGAGATTAGTTAGATAGTTTGAGTTTCCTGTGCTGGCAACATCTTTCTTGTTTTTATATTCTTTTTGATGTAAATAAAAGTTAAGTTTTCAGTTTGTTCTACGTTACTTTCAGTCTGATTTGCTCTCAACAAAATCCAACATTTGGTGCCGAAATAACTCGGTAAGTCATACTGATCTTGTTTTAATTACTTTCGTCAAAAATCTGAATTGGAATGGCTACCGGTAGTGAAAAACGTGTAATATTTAAACGCAAACGAACAACGCTACGTACCGCCAAAGATGAAATTAAACGATGCTGCTAGTACACAAACTGAAAAAGAATACAATATTGAGAGTTTACAAGATAAAATTAAAGAATTAATCTTGGCTGACGATGAAGTACATAATTTTTTAAATGATGAAGAATATCAGGAAGACATAATAGAATGTGAAAGATACACAGAATATGCTCATTTGGCGTTAGTTAATTTCAAAAGAACAGCGAATCGGAATACGAATTCAATTTCTGAAACATCGCCAACAGCTGCCAATATAAATAATTTTTCGGCTTCGCCTTCAAATGTTACAGTAAAGTTGCCTTCAATAAAAATAAATACGTTTTACGGCGAAATTGAAGAATTCCATAGTTTTTGGGAGCGTTTTGAAAACTGTATCGACAAAAACGAAAGTTTATCGCTGATTGACAAGCATGTTTTTTTGCGGGGATATTTAGATGGAGAAGCAAAACGAATAGTTGATGGAATTAATATAACTGCAGAAACATATGCAACAACAAAGAATATTTTGAAATCGAAATATGGCGATAAAGATAAAATAATACAGGCTCATCTCGATTATTTAGAAAACCTAAAACCTGTCAAAAATCACTCTCCAGCAGCAATAAATGAGTTATATATTGATTGTAATCGAAGAATACAGGCTTTAGATGCTTTAGGAGAAAAAACTCAATCATACGGAAGAATTTTGGCTTCAAATATACTTCGTGCTTTTCCTCATGAAATCTGTCGTAATTGGATTGTACATGCCAAACGTGAAAATTTTGCTGAAAGCGATATTTCAAAATTAATGAAATTTTTATCAGAAGAGGTCGAGGGATTAATTACTGCAAGTAATATTAAAGGTTCACTAGCTCCAGACTATCCTATTAAATCTTCCTTAGAAAATTCTAATGTGAATTTTAAATCAGTTACCAAAAATAAAATAATGTCACCCTTTTGTCCTTTCTGTGAAACTGTCGGACATTGGCCTCAACAGTGCAATGTTGTAACGGACATAGACGTGCGCATACAGAAATTGAAGACTAGTAATAGGTGTTTTTTGTGCACTAACCGAGGACATACCAAAAAAAATTGCCCCCGTAGAGAAAAATTTGCCTGTTCCAAATGCATGAGAAAACACCATACATCAATATGCAAACCTCTAACCAATGAGCAGCCTGTGGCTACATCTACAAACAAAATTGATATATCGTCTTCCAGTTTCGTTCATTTCAAACTGCACGAGTTTTCATAACTGGGCCCACTGGCATTACAAAACTGACACGTTGTCTTTTGGATGGTGGAAGTCAATCTAGTTTCGTTTCTTCTAATCTTGTGGATACTTTAAAACTTCCAGTCATTTCAACCAGACATTTGGACATTCAAGCCTTCGAATCCCCAGCTAATGTCGGCTGCATGCGAAGACAAGTCAAATTTCAGTTATCAAGTATCTGGGACAAATCTAAAGTTAATGTTACTGCATTTGAAAGCTCCAACAAATATGCATCACACCTACCTTCATCAACGGATGTTTCACTCTTTACTTAAAACAAGCGAATGAAAATTGCTGATCCAGATGATTCATTGTCGAACTTACCAATTGAGATTTTAATCGGTGCAGATTACTACTGGATTGTTATGAATTCTGAAGCTCCAGTCAGGTTGTCGGATTCTCTGGCCTTGGTCCCATCAAGTTTTGGTTGGGTACTTAGTGGAACTCGATCACACGCAACAGTTTCCTTCATTTCAACGGTTCATAATGTTGATGTGGATACTTCAACTCAGGAATTAGACAATGTGGTACGAAATTTCTGGAACTTAGAGAGCATTGGCATACAACCAACACAAGAAAAAATAAGTCCTCACAACTCTGAACTCTTAACGAACTTTCATCAATCTTTTGAAATCATCGATGGTAGAAGAGTTGTAAAATTGCCTTGGAAACCAGAAGTTCAACTTTCGTCGAACAATTATGAAGTCGCAATTCAACGATTTAAATCTTTAACAAGGAAAATGCATGCAAATTCAGAATTCAAAGAAAAATATATTGAGCACATGCAAGATTACATTGATAAAAAACACGTTGAAGTTGTCTCAGAAACACATAATGAGGAAGGTTTATATTACTTGCCCCATCACGCTGTAAAGAAAATCACAAATGGAGAAACTAAGTGGCGTATAGTTTTTGATGCATCTTCACATTCTCCAGGTCACCCATCTTTGAACGACGCTCTTGAAGTAGGACCAAATCTTCTTCCCGATATCTTAGCCACATTGTTGAGATTTCGACTTTCTAAAATAGCAATCACTAGTGATGGGCGACAAGCATTTCTGCAGCTGATTCTAGCAGAAGAAGACAGAGATGCAACACGATTTATTTGGTACAATACTACATATACTCCTGATGGGAAACTCTGCACTGAAGATAAAATTGTAACCTATCGATTCACACGTCTTCCATTTGGACTCGTCTCTAGTCCATTTTTATTAGCAGCTTCTCTTCGTGAATTGGCTACAAAACACAAACAAGCATATCCTACAGCAACTAGACACATTGAGAATAACACCTATATGGATGATTTTGTATCCGGAAC